AGAGTTTTTTGGATCACTTATGTAAATTATTATATCATCTGCAAATAGTGACAGTTTGACTTCTTCCTTTCCAATTTGTATCCCCTTGATCTCCTTTTGTTGTCTTATTGTTTTAGCTAGAACTTCAAGGACAATATTGAAGAGAGTGGCCAACCTTGTCTTGTTCCTGATTTTGGAGGAATCACATTGTTTCTCTCCTTTTAGTTTGATGTTGACTGTTGGTTTACTGTATATTGCTTTTATTATGTTTAGGTATGTTCCTGTTATCCCTGATCTCTCTAAGACCTTTATCATGAAAGGGCACTGGATTTTGTCAAAGGCTTTTTCAGCATCTAGTGAGATGATCATATGGTTTTTCTTTTTTAGTTTGTTTATATGGTGGATTACATTGATGGATTTTTGTACATTGAGCCATCCCTGTATCCCTGGTATGAAGCCTACTTATTCATGGTGGATGATTTTTCTGATGTGTTCTGGGATTCGATTTGCCTGTATTTTATTGAGTATTTTTGCATCAGTGTTCATGAGGGATATTTGTCTGTAGTTCTCTTTCTTAGTTTTGTCTTTGTGCTACTTGGGTACCAAGGTAATTGTAGCTTCATAAAGAGTTTGGCAATGAACCCTCTGCTTCTATTGTGCGGAACAATTTGAGGAGTATTGGTATTAGCTCTTCTTTGAATTTCTAGTAGAATTCTGCACTGAAGCCATCTGACCCTGGGATTTTTTTGGTTGGGATACTTTTGATGACTGCTTCTATTAGGGGTTTTATGTCTATTTAAATTGCTTATCTATTCTTGATCTAATTTTGGTAAGTGATAGCTATCCAAAAATTTGTCCACTTCAAGTTTTTGAATTTTATGGATTACAGGTTTTCAAAGTATGACCTGAAGAGTCTGGATTTCCTCAGTGAGTGTTGTTATGTCCCCCTTTTCATTTCTGATGTTGTTGATTTGCATGTTCTTTCTCTGATTTTTGGTTAATTTGGATAAAGGTTTGTCTATCTTGATTTTCTCAAAGAACCAACTCTTTGTTACATTAATTCTTCATATTGTTTTCTTTGTTTCTACTTTATTGATTTCAGTCCTCTATTTGATTATTTCCTGGCCTCTACTACTTTTCCAGGGTGAATTTGCTCCTTTTTTTTCCCTAGAGCTTTTAGTTGTGCTGTTAATTCTCTAATGTGACTTTCCTCCATTTTCGTCATGTGGACACTTAGTGCAATGAACTTTCCTCTTAGTATTGCTTTCAAAGTGTCCCATAAACTTTCCTCTTAGTATTGCTTTCAAAGTGTCCCATAAGTTTGGGGATGTTGTGTCTTCATTTTCATTGAATTCTAGGAAGTCTTTAAATCCTTTCTTTATTTCTTTCTTGACCCAGGAATGGTGCAATTATGAATTGTTCAGTTTCCATGAGTTTGTAGAGTTTCTGCAATTTGTGTTGTTATTGAATTCTAACTTTAAAGCATGGTGGTCTAATAAGATACAGAGGGCTATTCCATTTTTTTGTTTTGTTTTGTTTTGTTTTTTAATCTGTTGAGGTTTACTATGTTGCTGAGTATATGGTTGATTTTAGAGAAGGTTCCATGTTGAGCTGAAAGAAGGTATATTCTTTATTGTTTGGATGGAATATTCTATGGATGTTTGTTAAACCCAATTGGGTCATAACTTCTGTTAGTTCTTTTGTTTCTTTGTTTCTGTCTGGTGGTCCTGTCTGGTGGTGAGAGTGGAGTGTTGAAGCCTTTCACTATAAGTGTGTGAGGTTTTATGTGTGATTTGAGTTTTAGTAATGTTTCTTTTATAAATGTGGGTACCTTTGTATTCGGTGCATAGATGTTCAGAATTGAGACTTTGTCCTGATGGATTTTTTTCTGTGATGATATGAAATGACCTTCTTTATCTCTCTTGTTTGATTTTTAGTTTAAATTCTAATTTGTTAGATATTAGGATTGCTACAGCCTTTTGTTTCTTAGGTCCATTTGATTGGAAAATCTTTTTCCAACCCTTTACTCTGAGGTAGTGTTTGTCTTTGAAGTTGAGGTGTGTTTTTTTGTATGCAGCAGCTGGATGGGTTCTGTCTTCGTATCCATTCTGTTAACCTGTGTCTTTTTATCAGCAAGTTAAGACCATTAATACTGAGGGACATTAAAGACCATTGATTGTTAATTCTTGTTTGTTTTGGATTTGTTGTTGTTGGTGATATTGTGAATAGATTTACCCTGCATTTATTTATTTATTTATTTTGGCATCTGGTAAAGTGGGATTATCTATTGCCTATGTTTTTGTGAGTGTACTTAACTTCCTTGGGTTGGAGTTTTCCTACCAGAACTTTCTGTAGGGCTGGATTTGTGGACATGTATTGTGTAAATCTGGTTTTGTCATGGAATATCATGTTTTTTTTCCATCTATAGTGACTGAGAGTTTTGCTGGGTATAGTAGTCTGGGCTGGCATCCGTGGTCTCTTAGTGTTTGTAGAACATCTATCCAGGACCTTCTGGATTTCAGCGTTTCCATGAAGAAGTCAGGTGTAATTCTAATAGGTCTGCCTTTATATGTTACCTGGCATTTTCCCTTTGCTGCTTTAATATTCTTTCTTTATTCTGGATGCTTGGTATTTTGATTATTATGTGGCCAGGTGACTATTTATTTATTTATTTATTTATTTATTTATTTGTCCGGTCTGTTCAGTGTTCGGTATGCTTCTTGTACTTTCATAGGCATGTACTTCTTCAGGTTTTCTTCTATGATTTTGTTGAATATGTTTTCTGCACTTATGAGATGGGCTTCTTTGCCTATTATTCTTAGGTTTGACATTTGCACAGTGTCCCAAATTTTCTGGATATTTTGTGTTAAGGATTTGTTGGATTTAAGATTTTTTTGGTCAATGAATCTCTCTTCCATCTCTTGTATTCTGTTGATTATGCTTGCATTGGTAGTCCTGACAGTTTACCCAGCTTTTCTATTCCCAGCATTCCCTCAGTTTGTGTTTTCTTTATTGCCTCTATTTCAGTTTTCGGGCCATGAACTGTTTGAATTTTTTCTTCATCTGTTTGATTTTTCTGGGCTTTCCTTGATTGCTTTAAGAAATTTGTTGATTTCTTGCATTTTTTAAATGGTTCTTCTTTTCCTCTATTTTTTCCAATTATTTTTTTGTTTTTTCTTCCATTTCTTTAAGGGATTTTCTCATATACTGTTTGAGGGCCTCTATCATTTTCATGAAGTTGTTTTTAAGGAAATTCTCTTCTGCTTCATCTGTGTTGGTATTTTCAGGTCTTGTTGGTGTCATATTGTTCTTTCTATTGTCGAATGTGTTCTTATACTGCTGTCTTCTTATCCCTTCTTCCAGTGGGTGCAGGTGGGTGTCTCTCTCTCTCTCTCTCTCCCTCCCTCCCTCCCTCCCTCCTATCTCGGTGGGTGTAGGTGGGTCAGGAATTCGATGTTAGTAACTCTGAATAGTTCAAGCAGAAGGCATAGGTGTTCCAAGTTTGAGCTGAGGGCAGGCTCCAGATGGTCCAGCGTGATGGTGCCAGTCCACTATGTGCAGGGCCGACCCAGGAAGTTACAAGGAAAGGGTGTGGGGGGTGTTGGACCTGAGGTGGTCAAACACTCTGTTATTTATATTATGTTTGAATTTGCACTTAGTGGGTTTACCAGTACTCTTGTGGGCCATATTTGTCAAAATATGTAATTTTCCTGTCATTAGAAACGGTCACATACATTTTGGATTGTGTTCTCAATGGTGTGCACTGGGGAGGTGAAGGAGGCCATGTTGTAGCAGTACAGTGTTAGCAAGCATTAGTCCTGATTCCACTGTAGTGTGAGGAGACAAAAAGCCCATGAAGACAGGAGCAGTGTGTCCAGGGTCTCCCCATCCATGTAAACCCTCATGGATCCCTTAAATTGCCTCACATTGCAGAAACCTCTTTCCTATCACAAGAACAGAGGAAGGAATGCCCCACCAGGGCTCTTCACAGCACAGTCATGTACTAACAGGTGTAACTCCGATGATGGGACATTTCCACACTAGTAGGTGATCAGTAACAAACCCAGGAGACCAGTGAGCCTATCTACCGACTCTCAGATAACCTTTGCCCAGTCACTTGCGCTGGCCCACTGGTGCTCCTTTGTGCCCATAATATGGTGAGGCTTCCATGCCAGACCTGACCAGGCACCCAAGGCTTGCCACGTTGACAGCAGCCAAAGGCATAAGAATAAATCTATTTAGCCATCGTCACAGACAGATCACCAGAACAAGCACATACTTTTTTTTTTTTTTTAAAAAAGAATCAGTGAGCCAAGCATGGCAGTGTGTATAAGCCTGTTATCCCAGGACCCGGGAGGCTGAGGCAGGGGGATCATTAGTTCTAGGCTAGCCTTGGTTACACAGTAAGTTCAAGGTGAGCCTGAGCTTCCACAGTCTCAATAACCAAGGGCTGTGGATGTAGCTCAGGGGTCTCGCCAAGCAGGCGCAAGACTCTCAGCTCAACCTGCAGTACTGAAAATATAGTTCAAGACGAGATGGTGAATAATAGAAGAAACAAACACACTTGACCCTATTGCACTTGGAGCAATTTTTAAAAGGTGTGTGTGTGTGTGTGTGTGTGTGTGTGTGTGTGTGTGTGTGTGCGCATATGTGTGTTCATGGAGAAGCAGAAGGACAACCTTAGATGTTACTTCTCAGGAGCTATTCACCTTGGTTTTCAAGCTAGGCTCTCAAATTGGCCTGCCATTTGCTGAGTAAGCTGGACTGGTTGGTGGCTGGCTATTGAGCTCCAGGAATCCTCCTGCCTCCATTTCCCCAGCACTGGGATTAAAGTACATGCCATCGCACCAAACTTTTTTTTTTTTTTTTGCATAGGTTCTGGGGATCAATTCAGGTCTTCATGCTTGAATGAGAAGAGCTATTTCCCAGCCCCAGCTTAAGTGACTTTTTAGAATAGCTCCTTATTACAATATGCCTGCTTGTAATTTGTTTGAAACATCCTGTCTCTGCCTCTTCTCTAGGATATAGAGTATATACGATCTCATTATAACATTGAGGATTTCATCTACTTCAGCCACCATCAGCAAGAAGAACATGGGCGCTTGCACCATTTTGCCCTGAACCCTATTTTCCGACACTACACCAAGTTTTTCCTGAAGGAGATCCTTCGCTTAGGCTATAAGTCGTGCCTCTACTACCCTGTATACCCACAGTCCCGGGAGAGTAAGGTAAGAGGCAGACATGGCCTGTCCCCTTGTGCGCATGGTGGCATCCAGTGTGCACTCCATCTTTTTGTTCTTCTCATGATAACTTTGATTGTAGCATGCATCTGAGTTCCCATTGGCTGTATTTGGTCAGGCCATTCGCTTCACCGTGGTAAGAGTCCACGAGGCTTCCAGTTCCTGGAACAATGATGCTATTAGGCAAATTTCTTGATTTTTTTTTCTATATTGACAAAATGGCCACTGAAAACTCTAGCGGTACAAGACAGGAACAGCACATTATTTCTTATGGAATGAAGCCAAAATGATCCTATCGTGTTCTTTGACACAAAGAACACTACAGAAATGAGTAGAATATCATAGTTTCATCCTATAAAATTGGTGTGCTGTACACTGCATTCCAAATAAAATTTATAGCAATTTCCATAAAGATAATGGAGGAAAGGCAGAGGTGTACAATTCTGATGGAACTCTGCTATACAGAATACCTATGTAATTCCATTTAATACTTGTACTTCCATAGAGTATCACAGCAATAGAGACCTAATTTTAATGTGCATGTTGCATATATCCACCCAATTACCAGCTCAGCTCATCTCCACATCCTCATCTCACCTTGCTGTAGTGCTCATGAGTGTGTGTTTTGTGATGATGCAGGCAGTGCATTTGCCTTTTCCTTCTCAAGCTGTAGCCTCAGTTCCTAGGACCTACTCATATGCATGCAGACACCTTCACCTACTCAGGTACTGTAACTGGTGGTTCCACAAAGAAGTGCTATATTTAGGCCAGATTCCCAAGGGCGTCTTTCCTGAAAACTGGTTCCCCAGTCACTAACATTCATCCCCAACTTGGTGTGTACTCTCAAGGTGATGGGTTTCAACTACTAGGCTGAGTAGAAGTTGTCCCTTCAGTTTTGAGTCATGACCTCAAGTTTTTCCACATTTTGCAGAGAACCCTTGACACTGTCACACTTTTTCTCAATGTCGATGAGGAATTTTCAAATGCTGTTATGTATCAAAGTGTTTCATGGACAATCTGCAAGTACATTAGCACATACACTTGTAATAGTTATGCCCGTGTATCACCTTCAAGAAAAGGCAGCTGGAGGAATGCTGGTGGGAAAGAAGGAAGAGACGTGGAAAGGAGTTTTCATGAGACATGGACCCTACTTCAGTGAGGTTTTATTTGATTTGGTGTTTGTTTCCCCTGTAAGATGTAGGACAGCAATATGATTAATGACGTGGAAGATAACACTCGTACAGGAAAACCCTGGCCCCAGACAATTTCCTTCACTTCACTCTTGACTAAATACCAACTGTGTGACCTTCCAGGTGTGATATTAAATTCTTAGTTTCTATTTGCCATGCTGCCTGAATGTGCCAGGACAGGACAAAGTCCATTTGCATCCATAGTTAAAGACATCTCCGACCCGTGTCTGCTTATCAAGCAGTGCAAAGTTAGGGACGTGCTGCTTGTGAGGCATCAAAGCAGGCTTGGAAACAGGCCTCCTCAGTCACACTGCCACTTGATTTACACAGATATATGGAAAACAAGAGAGAAAAGCTGTCGCACGTCATTTGAGTGAGAATTTCCAACTTCTGCCCCAAGTCCTCTAGCAGTGAAGTTGAGCTGCCTGCATCTTACTGTGGCAGTGGCTCTCCACCTCATGCATCAGGACATAGACCAGCAGGTCTCATGACCCCTCTGGGGATCAAATATCAGATATCCTGCATATCAGATATTTACATTATAATTCATAATAGTGGCAAAATTACAGTCATGGAAGAGCCGCAAGAATAATGTGTGGTGGTGGTCACCACAACATGAGGAACTGAATTGAAGGGTCCCAGCATTAGGAAGGTTGAGGACCACTGCCATAGACATCCATGGATGTAAAAACAGCATCTGGCCAGGGTTTCTTGGGTTCTGATTTTCAGTAATCTGTAAAGTAAGGGGATGAGGTGCAGTGGTGAAGATTTTAGAAAGCTCTTCGGGAAGCTCATAGAAATGCCCACGGCGACTTTAAAACAACACACGAGTCATATGCAGACCATTATATTTATTAAGATACAGCTAACATTCTGCTTTACTGTTTGGGGGAGGGGATCTTTGACTTTAGTTCAATAAGTAGGCACATCATGGCCCGTGTGGCTTTTCACAGTTTTACACTTGAGGGTTATCCTGGCTGGTTTTGTGTGTCAACTTGACACAAGTTAGAGCTAAAGTTATCATAGAGGAAGTAGCCTCAGTTGAGTAAATGCCTCTGTGAGAGACAGCTGTATTGCATTTTCTCAATTAGTGAACAATCGGGGAGGGCCCAGCCCACGGTTGGTTGTGCCATCCCTGGGCTGCTGGTCCTGGTTTCTATATGGTGGGTTGGGCAAGCCAGTAAGAAGCAGCACTCCTCCATGGCCTCTGCGTCAGCTCCTGCCCTGTTTGAGTTCCTATCCTGACTTTCTTTAATGATTCACAACAACAGTACTGAAGTGTAAACCAAATAAACTCCTTTCTCCCAACTTGTTTTTTGATTATGGTGTTTCATTGAAGCGATAGAAACCCTACGACGAGAGTGAATGGTCTCTTGGCCCTGACTCTTTTTGACTTTTTTAATTCCCAAGATTTCATAAGTGTGAGAGTCACCATTCTCCCTCGAGTTTTAAAAACTAGATAAAATTAATATTTAAAGCATTATTGTACAAATTATTTATTGTTTATTTCAACAAGCATACATCCAGCTCATAATTTAGTCATAATACAAATCAAAATTATTTGATCCTCTTCTCTTATCCCCACTTTCCAGTTTTATTCTTTCATTCTAAGTCTCTTATTTCATTTTTCCAAAAAGGCCCAAGTGAAGTTGCCAGAGTGCTTTCACATCTGGGCTGTGTTGCCCCCCCCCCAGGTGGCATTTTTATCTACGTGTGTTAAAGCAGCTTGTGCCAAACACACAAAGGTTAACAGGACTCGAATAACACAGCTTAATGGGGTCAAATCAAGCTGATTCACGATCACTATGGAGAAGAATATTCTCCTGGGGGAAATACTTGTACTGAAAAATCCCATAAACCAAACCACTTGTTTATCTGTCATTCCCACAGAGATAGTAATGTAATTACTCTCGTAATTATCTTCATTAGTGTCAGGCATTATCTACAATTCATTCCTCTGCTCGGAGAGTATGTTTGTTTATTTGCTGATTTTTTCCCCCTCCCCTCTCTGACTTGGCCGAGTTAAGAGTTTTGTATTTGTCAAGCAACGTGCAGACATCTGCGCTGTGTGCCCCTGACATTCTCTCCCCTAAAATAGAGATTGCTGTCTTTCAGCTGCAGAGCTCTTCCGCCCACTCCCTGACATCTGCCCTTCATTACTTGGTTCCCGTGCGACCACGACGACAGATTGTCTATCCTCTGGAAAAGCTTGGCATAAACGCTCCATCAAAGGAGGTCTCCAAGGATCAGGTGGGTAGCAGGGCGGCAGGCAGGGAGGCATGGTGCCAGCTCCCGCGGGCTTGGCAGATGGGGTGGCAGCCCTGTCTTCACCGAGCAGGCTGCTTCTTAATTACAGGGAACCTGGCGCTCATACCCTTACAGGCGGCGCCCTGCAAGGGGGCTCCCCGCAGCCTTGCCCTCAAGTGGTTATTTCACAGTAAGCCTAAAACAGTAGCCACATCCTCCTTCAGAGGATATAGCAGGGACACCCCGTGTGTTGTTGCTGGTTCTTGGACAAATGAGTGGCCTAAAGCCATCCTAACCATTCCCCCAAGCCCAGCGTATTTTTATCTTCTTTCCCTGTCCTCAGAAAAATCCCCCTTTGGATTGATTGTTTGCTTTTAAGTCAGTCAGTGGTCTTCTTGCTGTTAGGACAAAGCCGCCAGAGAAATGTCATGTTGGAGGTGTTAGGTCTTAAGCTGGTTTTGTTTGTTTGTTTCTTTGCTTTAAAAAAAAAAAAATGTTCACATAAAAACTACTGTGGAAATTCAAAATATTCAAAGTGAGTAAGTAATAGGCTTGTTCAGTTTAGCTGCCTTGAGGTAAAAACTAATCCTGGCCAGACAAGAACAGGGTCTGGTACCAGCATGTGAATGTTCATGTATATGAATGCACAGCCATTTTTTTTGTTATTGTTGTAATTTAAATGGAAAATTTGACCAACATGTAGGCTCCCACTATTGTGGGTACTTGGGGTTTATTTAAAAGCAAAATATCTTAGTGGCTAAGATTTGCCCTTCCTGAAAGCTAAAAAACAAAAGACAGTCAAATTAGGCATTTCAAACATTAAGTTGAGGAGCTGTTCCCCAGCATGAGGGGTCTTCTCAGAGGGAAGGTACACATGCTCGCCCCAGCTCAGCTTCATACAGGGTGATGGCTGCCTGCCCCAGCCCAGAGGCTTCATTTCTCTAGAAATGAGGTTGCTTCAAGTCTGGCAGGGTCCTTATACTGATAAAATATCAAAATTTGTTTTCTAACAATTTTAAATTTACATTTGTGGAGAGACCAAAAATGAACAGCAATTTGATTTTATTTATTTATTTTTTTAACTTTTTGTTATGGAAGGTGGTAACAGATACAATCATATAGAACATAGTTTCTTAACTCTCCTTACCACCATGCGATTGGAGGCCTTTCCTTGTTTTTTCAAATATTCAATCTGTCATAGTCTTAACAAAATTAATTCCTGGAAAAACGAGATTTTAAAAAATCCAAGTTTAATTATGTTATTGTTAGATTTTGCAGACATAGAATTACTCTAGAAGCTTCCATGTGCTTAGTTCTTCATAGATCATTTCACACATGACCTTGAGGAGCTTGGAAATCTGAAGGGGCCTTGGAGTCAGCAGAGAACACACCCAGATACCAATTTCTCAGCACAAAGGAGATCTTATTACCCTTGAGGGAACACATTTGGAGATGGGGACTCCCGCCTCTGGACAGGCCAAAGACAGCAGTGGGTGGCTCTTCAGGAGTGGTTTCTAAGGAGAAAGGGGGAAGTCTATGTTAGTCTATGTTAGTCAGTACAGCCAAGTAATGAATTTTGATTACTGGACTTTACTGTTTTGAGGACTGGGCCTTGGTGACCAGCCTCAGGAATGAGGTAGGCATAAGGAAGTGGCCAGATGAGGGAATGGACCTGGGTGGCTAGCTGACTTTAGGAATATAATCTAATGGTTTAGCCAAGGAGAGGAAAGGGGGAAGGGAAGACCTGCCCACGCCATGTTTGCAATGTTTGGGGCCTGTTGGAGAGTTCTTAAACATCTCCATGTACATGGCACCTGGGGATTTCCTGTTCTTGGCCTATTGGTATCTTCCTTCCCCTCACACACTTCCCCTTCCTCCATTATCATCTTGAAGCAAACAGCATGTAGACTACCATAGCATGTAGTCTATGGGAATATTCTTAATGTCAGGGTCTACTGTGCTGTGAAGGTGGTCTGTCCCATTGGGACATACTGGAACCAGACAAACACTTGGTGCAAAGATTACATTTTAGGGTCAGAGAAAGTGGCTACATGCTGTGTCTGTCCCTGAAACAGCTTCCATAATTCTGATTAGAAGGGGGACGGGCGATCTAACCATTCGAAGCATGTGTATCAGATCCTGTAAAGATGACATATGCCGTACCTTTAAAGCAACCATTTCATATAGACAGGGCCAGACCAAGAGAATGCCTTTTGCATTAATGGGGTTCCCATGACTTCAGCCGGCACTTTCATGGAATGAGTGGGGGATTTCAAGCTGTCAGGGAGGCAAACAGAGATGCTGCATGGAGCATGAACATGTTGTTCCAAGCATGGAAGACACTTCTACCTGCCTGTCCTCTACCTGCATCTGGGAACCTCTGGAATTGGGCCATGTTATGATGACCTGGAGCTCCAGGTGGAGAGGAAACGTTTTGTTTCATTACAAATGATCCTAGCATTACTTCTGAGGTTGGCATGACTTGAAATTATTGCTTACATTTAATAACCTTTTCCCCTGCTCATATCAGGGTGCATGGCTCCTTTTCCTTCTAGAGCCCTGGCATGTCTTGAGGCACAGTGGAGACTGACAGTTTAAACCTGGGGTCCAGGAAGAAAAGCCCTCAGTGGGCCAGTGAGAAAATCGATGAGCAGATGCTTGCTTGCTGTAGAGTGCTGTGGTGTTTATGGTGCTGGTGAATTCTGACTGTCCAGGAAGCGCTTCGACCACTACTGGCCACATCCAATCTTGACATGCACTTTAGTAAGATTAAGATTTACTAAGGGGTTGGGGCAGTGGGTTGGTGGCATTACCCTGCCTGGAGATAGATTATCAGCTTTGTATAAAATGAACAGGTGTGAGGGTTTCAAGATGGATAAATAATGTCTGGGCTGGGGACACAGCTCAGGGGAAGAGCAGTGTGAAAGGCCTTCTCTTTGATCCTCCCACTTCCACAAACAAAACATACAGCAGCCATTCTAAACAAAAAAGGTAACAATTTTGAAAATGTAAAGGCCCTATTCAAAGGATTGGCAACATTGTAACCTACACAGAACAGACCTAAATAATCAAAACTTGAGGTGCTGATTTCTACCATTTGAAGTTGTATATTTCTTTTTAAAAACAGTTTAGAAGAGTTCGGCATTTTAAACAACTGTCTGAGACAACTTGGGTTGTTTGGGGAGTAATTTCAATGTGGTTTGAGTACACTCCTGTCTGAGGAGAGCGATAGAATTCCCATGGTTGAATAATGCAGACCCATTTCTCTCCAGCCACTTGCTTTTCATGCCTTTACCCTGCTTAGTGCATCTCTGAGTGGACATCCCCTGGCTTTCACCGAGGAAGCCGATCTTCAAGGGGACAGATCACTTCAGGCATGAGTAATGGGATAGACCACATTTCATCTCAGTAGGGTTGCCAATTTGGATCTGACACAAGGCAGCGTGATTGAGATTCAACACTGCACGGCAAGTCACAGGAAAGCACCCAAGTGCATTCATCTTCACCATACCTTCTAGAAGTTGGCTTCCAAGATTCACAGGATTATCTCTACAACTGAGCAATAGGAATTCATGGAGAAGAGAGAAGGCATTGCCTAGTCGAAATCATAATCTGCACAATAGGCCTGGAAGCTTCTTATTCAGTTTGAACAAACCGTCTCAGCCTATGCATTTGTGTTATGAGTTATCATCATGGGAACTTTTTACTAAGTGTGTCATCATAGCTCACTATCATGAGTACTGTGACCCTGAGAAATACTCAGTTTGCCTGAATTCTTTGTGCAGACAAACAGAAGTTTGGAGCGAGTCGCCTTTCTCTCACTTCCGAGGTCTGTGGTGAGGAGATTTTTTTCCCTCTCTCTCTCCTGCCTGCATCCTAGAGGGATTTTGAGTTGACTGTGTTAACTGTCAATCCTCTTGGGGAAACTGCCAGTATTTTTGCAGTGTATATTGCAGAACATTTATTTTATGGTTTTTGTTGTTGTTGGTTTTCCTTTTTTCTTTTTCTTTTGCCTGTTAGGCTATTTTGCCTGTATATATGTCTGTACACCATTTGCATGCAGTATCTACAGAAGGCAGAAGAGAGTGCTAGATCCCCTGGAACTGGAGTACAAACAGTTGTGAGCCTCCATGTGGATGCTGGGGGACTGAACCCAGGTCTTCTGGGAGAGCCATCTCCCCTGCCCCTTACTTACAGAAGGGATAGTAAGAGCTGGGACTCACTCTAGGATTGGACCTGTAGAATTTCTGTGTTATCTGTACTTTGTGTCCCAGGTACTGCTTCCTCTTAGGGTATTAAATGACAAGCATTTATAATGCTCAACTCCAGAAATTCACCTTCAGATCCGCTATCTTTCTTTATTAGTCACAAAAGTTCTTAATGGTCTATTCTGATCATAATTTTATTCTTCACCTTGATTTATGGTGGTCACAGAATGAGTACACCATCTCCATCTCCATCCCCTCATGAGAAAGCACACGTTCTGAGTGATCAGCCCTGATGCTTTTGTTTGTGTTTTCTTTTTTTTTTTCCCCTTGATTATTAATGGCAGTCTACTGAAATCTGGACTGACTTCTGTTTGTATTCTCTGCATTTGTTTTCTCCATATCTCCCTTTGTCCTTCCACAAGAAAAAATGGCAGTGTTTCTATTGCTCCCACCCCCACCCCCCAGAGCTAAATGTTGGCCCGCCCTTTCCTGGTATGTGATCTCAGGAAGATGTCACTGGCTGGCATTCAGTTACCCTTTGAATTGCCCCTTTTCATCTGGGCTGTTCTTCCCCAGTCCAGCTATAATTACCATCTGATGGACGGTTACTGGATCCTGTTGCCCTTGGGCATCTGCTGCCTTGGGAAATTGCATTATTCTCCCAGCACCTGCTAGGTTTTCCCCAGCATAATTGTTTCCCAGTCCCTTCCTTAAACCTGGTAACGGTCACTGACAGTAGTCAGCCGACCCTTGATTGCAGTATGTAGTGTGTTTGTTTGTCTTTTTAAACAAACA